AATGAGAATCCATCAGAAGGGTGTGTGTTAAGTCAGGAGCCCATAATCACATGCAAGTGTAATTTGACTCCTAAAAGGACTCACCACCACACCTCCATGACCTTAAAAATCAACAGGTCACACGCCCCTGTAATGTGCTGCCTCTGGCGCAGCCCATCACTTTTCTGCTCTTGTTTTCCACAAAAGAAGTAAGTATTCATGGACAGTGTACTTCAAAGATCCAAGCAATTGATTCCACACTGGACTCAGAGGTGAGCACCCGACAGGGCCACCATCTGTGATGGGAACACAGAATACTGCAACCGCGCTATGCACGTTTTCACAAAAACGGGTTTTCCCCAGAAAATCTGCCTTGACACTCTAGATGGCCTGGTTTTGTAATACATTTAGGTGCAGTGGCTTCTCCAGGGAAACCTTCAAAATTGTTATGGATTTCTCCTGAGTCTTAGATGAACTTTGTATCTTGTAGAGAAAGCATCTATTTTTGAGACACGTGAAGAGAAAAGTTGTCCAAAGTCTGCCCTGAGACAGTCTGTGAGAGGTGGCGTTCTGCTTCAAGGTTCCTCAGCTTGTGCTCAGGATGACAATCGAGAAGGGCAGTGACCTGGAGGCTACAGGGAGCTCCGATACCACGGAAGCCCCTGAAGGCCTGCAGCAGTGGGAGGAGCACGGGAAACACCTACCAGACACCCTAACAGCCAGTAAAGAAAGAAAGTCCTTTTCTGGGCAGATGGTCTTCTAATAGAAATCTAGGAACTTCNCAGTAAAGAAAGAAAGTCCTTTTCTGGGCAGATGGTCTTCTAATAGAAATCTAGGAACTTCATATGGTTCATAGGCAGGGAGTCAAGAACTATCCCATTTCTATAGGGTCTGAAATAATCTCTGTGAAATCCAGTCATCAGAAGTGTTGACATTTGCAGACAGAAACCAAGAATAAGCCCCAGTCCCTGTAAAAGTCCCCAGCTTCTTTCACAGTAATGTTCTGTAACAGGCAACCATTAAGATAAGGAAAAAATGTAAACCTTACCTAAAGAAAAAAATTAGAGGTGAACATGTACTTTGAGCCATCATCAGAAGTTTAAAACTCAGGGCTGGCTGGTTAGGTGGGTTAGTTAGAGCTCAGTGCTAACACCAAGTAAAGGGTTCAGATCCCCATACTAGCTAGACACCAGAAAAGAAAAGGAAAAAAAGTTTAAAACTTAACTACAGAATTGGAAACACCTTCAGAAACTGATAAGTGAGGAGGCTTCTCAGGACTATTCAAGCCAAGCGCTGGCAGTTGGCGTGCTGTGCTGTTAGGTGCACGCTTCCACTTGTGGCTCTTCAGCAGAGGGATGACCGGGGGTTGGTGAGATGGATGGCCTGAGGACCCTCATCCTTCCCTGTCTTCACCCGAATGGCATCACTTACATCAAGTACTCGATTAAAGAGGGAAGAGTAAACAATTGCTAGATTTTAAGCATGTCCTTTCAGATGGAAAGGTAAAGGCAGCCTTTGGAACCAACTGCTCTTACTGGAATCCTCCTCAGAAAACCCACACTATCTTTACCAACCACGTCCCAGCCCATCAGTGGTCACGTGTTGTACCATATCTTCTTTGCTTAGAACTTACTTGTTATTTCTGTTTTCTCTAAGGTCAAACCACATGTGACACATAACCAGAATCACCTTATACTTTTACCTTCCAACTGGGGACACCTTCAAGAGAGAAACGTGGCACTAATAATCACCGGGCAACGACATAAACCAGAACTGTCCCAGCAACTCAGGTGGCTGCGCAGCCACCCTGTGCACAGCCCCACTCTGCAGCGCTGGTGCTTACTCTGACACAGGCAGGAGACAGGAGCAAGGCTTGCTTGCTGCCGTCCACCTTACCTGTAGTCAGACTTTAGAATGATCGCATCAATGCTGTCCGTAACCACACATCAGCAAGGCTAAGGGTATGGATCCTCTACTTGGCTGACACTCAGAAAAGAGAAAAGAGAGAGACTCTAAGAATGACGAGTATGCTCCATAAAACCATCCGTTTTCCTGTTTTGATTAAATCAAATATATCAAAAGCAACCATTTGACCTTAATATCTCATTTTCTTTCAAAAGGCCTAACATTACCTAAAAGCTAAGCTCAAAACAGCAGTTCAAACCTCCTAAAACCTTATGTTTCTGCAAACCATAGAGGACTGGTTGAGAGGGAAGGAATCCTGACCTTCAATCTACTGCATAAACCTTTGCTGCCTTATGGGTTTCAGCTTTCCTGAGATCAAATGCCAGGACGACAACTTGATGAATGCTCTTCTACACCCGCTTCTTTCAATCTGAGAGAGCCTCGTTTGTGCAGCTATGACCAAGAGGGGTGGGAAACACCCACGAGAGGTGAGCAGGTGAGCAGGTGAGCGGCAGCAGACAAGGAGAGGCGCCTTCAGGGGCCGGCCCAGACGGGGCAAGGAGGCACTGGGACACTAGACTGTAGTCCTGCAGCTTCCCCAGACCAGACAGCAGGACAGCCATGCAGAGGCAGTCCAGACCCTGATTCCCTACAGTTGGTCCCAGCTGCGGCGACTGACTGGTAAGCCCCCGATAAGCAGGACCACGCCACCAACAAACCAAGGGTTAGGGGAGCTCCGGCCCTTCCCTCCAACTTCCGTGTTCTTTTTTCCACAAAGAAATAAAAAATATCCTACAAGAGCAATTCAACCAGAGGAGGACTTGGGAGGAAGGAAAGGAAAAGGGAGAGAAGAAGGGAGAAAGAAGGGTGAAGGGAAGAAAAAGACAGAAAGAGAGAACAAGCAAGCTCGCCGGCACCATTACGTATTTTCTTGAGAAAACCCTAATACCGTGAGAATCAGCTCTCCCGTATAATGCAATCATTTGGGGGTTTTTCCCCACAGAGTGAAAACTATATTTGGACAACTTCTGACATCAGATCCTTAAACAGAATTTCTTTTGGTCAAATCTTGGAAAATTTCTTTTCTTCCTCTACCTAAAACTTACTGAATTAGTATTCCCAGTGCTGTCTTCAATGTTATGGCCAAAACATGCCCCTTTTTCCCTCCTGAAATGAAGACAACAACTTGTACAGCTAGATAATGGGGGTAGAGGAAGGGATCCATTCCCTCCCTAGAAATGGCACCAGCAAGGCCACCAGGCCATTCAAAGCCATGTTTGGTAATGAGATATCACGCCTACCAGAAGGCTGCTTCCGGATGGGTGCAAAGTGACCTGGTCTGTCGTTGCACTCACTCCCCAGGCGAAGACTTACACCAGCCTCAGGCACGGAACTGCTGCCTCCTTTTCTGACTTGGCTGAGGGAAGGAAACCAGCTGACCTGGCAGCTAGAGCCCCGCAGACAATCCCGCCCTCCCAGCAGGGCAGAGGAAACAGAGCTCCCGGCAGGGCCCAGGGCCACTTGCTGCTCCGCACATACCCGTCCTGCATGCCGGGAACACCCGCCCACGGAGCAGCAGCTACACCGGGATGAAGAGAACACACGCCGGGCTCTGCTGGGCAGCCGCACACAGGCCACCTGCCCTCCCTGTATCTCACGACCATGGCACCTGCCTCCCGGAGGCCGTGGTGACTGGTAGAAATAGTGCACATAAAAGTAAATCCTCTCGTGAGCTTTCTTTGGAGAAAGCATCTCTTTTCAAAGAGAAGCATACAGAAAGGCAAGGTAGTTCCTGGATTATCCCCTAGATCCTGAGGATCCAGGCAGCTGGGAAGTCTATGCCCCAGCTGTGTCACTTCCCAGCTGTGTGACCTCAGGAAACTCACACAAAATAAGAACACACTCACACACACACAACCCAAAAAGCTAACAATGCCTATAACAAGGACATCCTTTTGGGTCTAAATCCGAAAGAGAAAGAGACAGAGAAAGAGTCTTGGGAGCCCTTGTTTCCAGGAGAATCACTGAGTCACCTCACCTTTTAAAGAATGCTACTGGAGGACTGAGACTGGTACAAAGGCTCTAAGTTGGCATCTGGTCCCCAGATCAGAGCGTGTTTGTCTGAAATAAAACAGAAAATATGTTTTGTTGCTGAATGATCTTTCAATAGTGAACTACTGACAAGTAACCTAATCAATCTTGAAAGTAAAAAAGCTGAGAAGCTAAAGAAAAATGACCGACATTATGATTTTGTTCAAGAATGTCTTTTAAATCATAATATATCTATATATAAAATACACATACAACATTGTTCCATACTGCCCAACACCTAAGAATAAGAACTGCAATTCATAGCTGGGAGCCAAATAATTTATTCATTGACTGACTTTTTTTTTTTTTTTTTTTTTTTT